TCACTGGGTTCGACGACTTTAGGTTGAGAAACCTTTGTCGTTGAGGACTTTTTAGGGCTTGGAGAATCCCTAGTTGTGGATTTAACAGGAGGTTGAATGTCCTCGGTTGCCATGGTTGAAGGATTTTGATCTGGTGGAGTTTCGGAACTTTGGCTTTGACGAGTTGAGCGCCGAGATGGCAGAGGAGCATTCTTCTTCGGCTTCACAGTGCTCTGCTTGGATTTAGGCATTGTCGAGAAATAGAGATTCTATTGAAGAAGGAATGTTAGAAAGTTTTAGAAGGATAAGCAAATCAGAGATTATGATTGATATGAGAGAGAGAAGCAAAGGTGGTATGAATGATATAGGGAACTTAAATCACAGTTACCGAGGTCGGTTACAAGACGGTTCGGCTCACAATCTTTGAATTTCAAAATTTTGACCAATACCAACGCAAGACATTAAAAACTGTTCCCTCCAAACAGATTACTTACCAAAATTAATTAACACAGTTACCATATATAACGCATGAAGTTTCAGACAAAAATATCAGCCAAATCATGTACCAAAAATAATTTTAGGCTCAATATCGAAATAATATATACCATGAGAAAAACTGGATGCACATGCCTAAATAAGATATTTAATACGCAATACCCTAGAATTTTCCTTTCACGCAATATTGAAAAGATCCATTAATTGATTGACCAACAAATCTTCCCAAGTCAATTTGAGACAAGCTCGACACTAACAAGATGATGAGAAAAATAAATTCTCTTCGTGCACAACTCAGCCTTTACTGCTCCCACTTTTATACAACACGGAATTAATATGAGTTCGTTCATCACTTTCTCTTAGCAAAAAACAAAATTTTCGTTCGCAATTCAGCCCCAATACTAATGATGAACTTACTCCGTTCTATGAACTTCCACACCAATTCACTTACTAACATCAACTATACACCAATGTCAAGCCCATTACTTGAGGTGTGAATCATCCCGCAAAAAGTTTTAATTTTGAACAAGCTGAGAAGATATCAGGATCGCCAACCTTATTTCACTAGAGAACGTTCATTCTTAGAATGTTTACCTGTAGCTATCACACCTCGATTATTGTTAAGCACATAACTCGTTTCACAGGTGATCAAGGAAACACCTCATGTGATAGTTGCCTGATGCCTATTTTCACGAGAGCAGCTCTTACAAGTATATTAAAATGGTCATCATGACGAGCTCTTACAAACTGACCAGATAGAATTCATAGATCACCAATCAACAAACTCAACAATAAACGATCTGAGAAGAATTCCAGGGATGAACCTACATACTAAAATGCCTAAAATACAGGAGAGATCCTATATGCAATAGACACGATACATATGTATTTATAGAAATGCAACTGACACAATTTACATAAATTATATAGCACACATTCCTAAAGATTTTCTCAGGTACAAAAAACGTTTCGAATCAAGAGCTTTAGTAAAAATATCAGCAAGTTGTCATCTGTAGGTACATGATCCAACGCAATAATCCCATCTTCTACCAAATTACGAATAAAATGATAACGAATGTCAATATGCTTGGTACGATAGTGTTGGACAGGATTTTTCAAAATATTTTTAGCACTAGTGTTGTCACAGAAGAGTTGAGCCGAATGAACGTTCATACCATACTCAGATAAAATCTGTTTCATCCATACCAACTGTTAGCAGCAGCTTCCAGCGGCAATGTACTTGGCCTCAGCAGTAAAAAGGGAGATGCAGTTTTGTTTCTTGCAGAACCAAGATACCAAGTTTGATTCTATGTAAAAACACCCACTAGAGGTGCTTTTTCGATCATCAAGATTTCCAGCTCAGTCAGCGTCACAATAAACTGCAAGATGTAAGTTCGTATCAGCAGAGTAGAATAGACCATACTCTGTTGTACCTCCAATGTACTTAATGATATGCTTGACTGCTTTCATATGTGATTCCTTGGGGGCGGCCTGATACCGGCACACAATCCAACACTAAAGAAAATGTCAGGTCTACTAGCAGTGACGTATAGAAGACTACCAATCATATTTCTGTATAGAGTTTGATCAACAGATGTACCTTCATCATCTTTGGACACTTTTACATGAGTGCGCATGGGAGTTTGAGGACATTTAGCATTTTCAAGACCAAACTTTTTAACAAGGTTTTTTGAATATTTACCCTGATGCAAGAAAATACCATCTTTACCTTGCTTTACCTGAAGTCCAAGAAAGTATGAAAGTTCACCTACGAGAATCATCTCGAATTTAGATGACATAAGTTTAACAAAGTGATTGACCAGCTTCTTGGATGTTGATCCAAAAATGATGTCATCGACATAGATTTGAAGAACCATTAGGTCCTCATTCATTCGAAGAGCAAAGAATGTTTGATCTACTCCTCCTTTCTTGAATCCCTTTTCCAGAAGGTACATGGTAAGGCGTTCATACCATGCACGAGGCGCTTGCTTCAATCCGTACAATGCTTTCTTAAGTATGTAGACATGATTAAGATTCTTGGGATCTTTGAACCCTTCTGGCTGCTTAACGTATGCCTCTTCATGTAATATCCCGTTCAGAAAGGCAGACTTCACGTCCATCTGATAAACAATGAACATCACTAGACAAGCAATAGATAGAAATATGCGTACAGATTCAAGTCTAGAAACGGGGGCAAAGGTTTCATCAAAATCAATCACTTGAGTCTGAGTGTAGCCTTGAGCAACTAGTCTCACCTTGTTACGTGTCACATTCCCGAACTCATCAGTTTTGTTCTTGAAGATCCACTTGGTTCCGATATCATTTCCTGATGAAGGTTCAAGGACTAAATCCTAGACATCGTTTCTAGTGAATTTCTCCAGTTCCTCCTGCATGGCTAAGATCCAACACTCGTCTTTCAGAGCTTCTTTAGCATTCTTGGGTTCAATCAATGAGGTGTAGCAGGCATAATGAGAAACACCCATAAGTTCTTTGACTGACATCTTCGAGTTTCTGGTTACTCTCTCGTTTATGTCACCAATGACTTGCTCGGATGGATGTTCTTTCTGAACCCTTAAGGGAGAATCACGCCTAGGTAGCACAGAACCTTTTTGAGTCACAGGGACAATGTAGTGTTAGAGGTATGCTGTAAAAGTTGTGTTTTGCAGTTTCTATCAATTCCATTTTGATCTGGCAATCATGTTTCGGTCAAAGTACATATGTTTGCAGTTTTTTATGCAATACATACTCCATGTCTTATATTGAGATAGTGTGGTTCGAAGAGTTTCCAACGGAAAGATCACCTATCGGTTCCTTGTAAGACTAAACTATTCGTTCACAGTCTAGACTGACAGTGAGACCCCACTTGGAAAAAGACTGTAGTGTATTCCCGATTCAGTTGGTCTTTGACTGAAGGATTACACTAGCACTTATGTTAAGTGTTGAACAGGACCACGAAAGGATAAGGATATGAGACTCACTGACCGTTGTCGTAACCTAGACCTTCAGTGATTGATGCGTTCTCTTAAGCTGTAAAATAATATAAAATAGGCATATATTTTTATTTCTTATTTATTTGATTTACCAAGTGATTCCTATTCTGTTAGGATGACATACGAGGTATTTTGGTAAGTAAGAATAATTATATGATGTGCTATTATAGATTATTTACAGTCACTATGTTCCAGTGCGCTGGATTGATGACGTCCCCGAAATGAGCTCAGAAAGGAACCTTATGTTAAACCCTGCAGGTAGACGATTGTCTGACAAAATGGTTAAAGGCTGAGGGGTACTAGTTTCGGAAATGAATAAGAAGTTGATTAATTACTTTGTCAGTAATTTAATTAATCAACGGACGTTATATCTTAAACATAGGGAGGTAAATCGATCAATCAGATTAATATTATTTAATCATGGAGGCTCGATTTTATTTGTAAAATAGTGGCTAAATGGGGAGAGCAATAATATTACTCTAGTGGGATGTTTTATTATTTAATTCCATTAAATAGGAATTAATTTTATTCCATATTTATTAATTAATTAGGAGAATAAAATTCCTACTAGAATCTTCTCTTGGGATTAGGAGACTTGGGAGTCTTCTAGAAGATGAAAATTAGTGGGAAATATATTTCTTAGATTATATTAATTAATTGGAGTAAAATTAGGTTTCCTAAATTAGGATTTAATTCTATTCCATGTTTATTAATTTAATTAGGAAATGAAATTCCTACAAGGATCTTCTCTAGTGTTAGGAGACTTAGGAGTCTCCTAGAAGAGAGAAGATTAGTAGGAGATCTCCTTCCTAGATTGAGTTAGTATTGGATTGGAATTAGGAGTCCTAGGCCTAATGGAATAAGCCCATATTTAGCACCTCCTTAAGGTCCCTAATGGAGCCTATATATACACCATGTACCATACTCTCTTACAAATATGTGTTGGCCGAAATTCTCATCTACATACACGTGAGATTTGCTTTGTTCGAGAGTTTGGGAGATCCGATTAAACGCTCCACCAAGTTTAATCGGAATAGGTGTTTAGGTAATCCATTAGAAGGCTTTTTGGTACAATTGATTGAGCCTTTATATACATATATTTTCCGGTCATCTTTCCCAGCCAATCTCCGCCGTCCTCCGCCGTGAACCACCGCCGGAGATCGCCAACCGCCGCCGGAAGTCAGCCGAGCTCAGCCCAGCGCAACCGCACGTCACCGCGAGCTGTCGCGCATCGCCGAGCCCAGGGCACGACACCCAGCGACAAGCAACGACGCCCCACGCCATCGCGAGTCGCCCCAGCT